GCCAGACGCCAGGCACCCTGGCGTGGCGTCTGGGTCCATACCCAGACCAGACGCCAAGGTCCCTGGCGTCTGGCTCATTTTGGTCGCGCAGGAGACCAGACACTTGTCTGATCTGTCTGATGCCCGATCCAGAGAGCAAGTTTCGAGTGGATAAGATTCTTTGGGCCCACCTCTAGCCCTCTCATCCATTCATCTCCACCTCTACCCCTCTCATTCCTTTCATCTCCACTCACTCTCACCTCTAGCCCTCTCATCCACTCACTCTCATCCAGTACCCTAACCCCCCCTCAAATCTCTCACGAATCGGTCCTGTTTCACCGTTGGATCTTCAGTATTTCGAAACTAGAAGGTAAATCAACTCCACCCCCATCTTTTGGTTGGTTTAATGCATCATAGTTTTGTGTAAACCCTAGTTTGTTTTCCTCGTGGTTTAATGTATCATAGGTTAGGTACTAAGAGATTTGTGTGTTGTAGATGGCTAAGGGTACTCAGTGGGTGCTTAGCCCTGCTGTTCATGTCCTAGGCTTGTCTCCATGTCTTGTGCAAGTTAGTGAAGTGAACCTCACTTTCGATTGGTTGAAGACTAAATTCATGTTGAAGCAAGGGTTGAAGGAAGAGGATTTTGTGTACTATGTCAATAGGAAGCAGTCAGATGGCCCCGGCAGAAGAAAATTGATTGACATAACTGATGATGACAAGATTCAAGAAATGCTGCAATAATGGGGATGGAAAAGGGTTGTTGACTTGCATTGCTACAGGAAACCGAGTTATATGTGATGTTCATGTCGTTTCAATTATCGTGGACCATCGTGGTTATGAACTACTTATGTCATTCGAGACTTTGTATGTGATGAACTTCTCATTCGAGACTATTTGTGTCATTTGAGATTATGTGATAACTATGTTTGTCATTTGCTATTATGTGAACACTAATGTTTGTCATTTGCTATTATGTGATACTATAGGTGTTTGATAGAACAAAATATCTGTGTGAACACTAATGATTGTCATTCGATACAACAGGTGTTTGATAGAAAAAACTACTACACCAGGGCCAGACGCCATGGACCCTAGCGTCTGGCTGCCATGTTTCTGCTGTCCCATGCCTCTGCTTTTGCTTCCAGTCGACCACCAGACGCCAGGGACCTTGGCGTCTGGTCCCCTGACTTCATACCATATGCCATGGACCCTGGCATCTGGTCCCCTGACTTCATACCAGACGCCAAGGACCCTGGCGTCTGGGGCCCTGTACTAATTTTTGTACTTATTTCACACAAGAAGATAGCACATATATAATAATATGACAGGTTCATAAAACACAGAAGATAGCACATTTCGCAGAACTTTCACCACGACAAATTCTTGCATACAAACGACAACAAGTTCACAGATTTTTCATCACGACAAATTCATGCATACATAAGACACCAAGTGCATACATAAGACACCAAATTCAAGACAACCTTAAAAGTTTTTACCACAATGCCAAGTTCCTGCATACAAACGCCACCTAGTTCATACACTTCCAAACAAGAAGCTCACTTCCTCCTTCCTCTCTTCACGAGTGCTGCAAGTGTAGGCTCCTCCTCTTCGCTAGCCTCCTCCTCCTCTTCGTTGTATGCCTCCTCCTCCGCCTCAATGTTGGCCTTATATCTTTGCATTCCTGTTGGGATAAGCTGATGAGGATACTCCGGACTATGGAATTGTGTGTTCCATGTCTTCTTTCTACCTTTCTTGCCTGGTGTCTTAGCTATGGCTTTGCCTTTCCTAGAGTGAGCATTGCCTTGTGTCGGTTGTGTAACCTGTGATGGTTGTGGAGCATCAACATCATACTCATGATCCTCTTAATGTGTTGCATCATACTCATGCTCCTCATCTTGTGTTGGCTCCTCTTGATGTGATGGCTCCTCTTCATGGACCTCCTCCTCCATGTCCTCATCGTTCTGGATATAACGCCGTCTATTAGCTCTGGCGCGGGTACCAGGTGCATACACGTCACTGGACTGAGCACCATGGCAAGAAAGCATTGCTGCCATCTTATGGAACCGCTTCTTGACCTTCTGCAACAACACAAAATATGCTATGATATGATATACAAATAAATAATCCGCGAAAAGAAACTTTTATAATATATTGGTCACACCTCCATCGTGCTCCTAAGAGTCCTCTCAGATAATACACCACCAGGTGGATGACTCAGTGCAACATTGGCATCGTTGACACACAAAAGCAACGATCTGCCCTGCAATTCATGAACAAAGCAAACTTATGTATTTGAAAGAAGACAACATGATGCATGCAAGTTTGTTAGAATAGGTCAAACAGACTACCATTTCGTCATGAATTAGTGCATAGTCAACGTGAGCCCCTCTGGTGTCTCTCACAGCCGTGTTGAAGGTATGATAACCTTCTGCAGTGTCCGGGTCTTCAGACACCAACTCCGACCACTCCTCGCGAGTCCAACCAGGCTTTAGCTTTAACCGGTAACGATCCGCATACCACACTTGATACTTCTGATATGCTGACTGATTGTGAGGTCTATTCTCTGATTGCACTATAGTGTCTCTTTGATTCCAAATTTCTATCCACGCACGGTGTTTGTTTGCCCAATCCGATATATCTTGATTGTTCCTTCGATCGAACCTACAAATGATGCACGGGACAAAGCATTAGCAAACATAGACTTATTCAATGCTCTACTACATATTCAAGGCATGCTTGCTCACCGATGCAGAGATAGCATTTCCTTGTTGCTCTCCTCAATTGGAATACCTTGTCTTCTTCCAAATTGTCTTGCCACACGGTCTACAAAATGTCACTCGACTGCGAAGAAGCATATCATTGGGCACCTCGCCCGCCAAAGATGGCTATCACGCGTGCACATCTCATTAAGATCATAGTCACGATATTCCATATAAGGCAACCAATGTACCTGCAAAACAAAGAGATACATTGTTAGATACAAGTTTCATTCTTGACTAAATTTGGTCTCATCGAACTTCTCTATACCTGCTCAGCAGTCAAAGTGTCCAGCTCGTTCATATAGCACTTGTATCGCACATGCGAGCTTCCTGTGTACACTGTCACTTGTTCCCAATAGTAAGCAAGCGTAGGGCGCCGATATGGATCATCATCATGCAGCCTGTCTAGATTACCCTATGGGTTTGCCATGTTGGGGTCCTTGATATCGGGCCGTCCAACCGGGATCCGCTCCCACATCCACACGGATAGGCTCCAAACAAACCCAGCCAATGAGAGTGTATCTCCCTTCCTGCGACACGCCAAGTCAAGCTGCAATCAAACAAACATGTTAGATATGGAGGCGCATGACAAATGCAAGTTAAATGGTTGCAAATATCTCTTACCTGACGATACAAATATGCTAGCGCGGCCGAACCCCAGCTATACTGGGTATCCTAGTTATTGAGTAGCCCCAGGAACATCCAGAGGGCCGAGTTCCCGGTTGCATCTGAGAAGACTACCTTGGTTAGCACATACCAAAGATAGGCCCGCGCGTACTGCTGCACAACCACGTCATTAGCACCCTGAGGACACGGATTGGTGTTTCATCTAACTGCTTTTAGCCAAGAATGCCTCACTCTCGCGGTATCGGCCTTGCCTTCCTCAGGGGCGTCGGGCTGAACACCAATTAAAATGCCAGTCCGTTCTCACCAATTAACGGCACTGACACGACCGGTAACAGTTTGTCCGTTGATAGGAAGGCCGCTTATCATAGCCATGTCCTCAAGGGTCATCGTCATCTTCCCAAATGGAAGGTGGTACGAGTGAGTCTCCGGCCTTCAACGATCCACAAGTGCGGTCAGCGCCGCGTGGTTCACCGGCGGAGCGCGTCACTTAAACTGCAACACGAATGGGAGAAGACCCAATCTCCGATTGTAAGGCTCGTACCGCGGGTCGTAAGTAAAGTCATCAGCCGAATGTCCCCTCATGCGCATAGCAACTACAAGCTGCAAATAAAGTGATGTTTTAATCAATAGAAGAACACAAATGAGAAACAGCGAAAATTGATAAGTCTTGCTTCTTACATGTCCGTTCTCAATGGCACGAGCACGATGCTCCTTATCCCACTCATCGATTAATCCGTCATACCAAGGTCCATCACCATCCGCCATCCTACAAAACAAATCACAAACATCTATGAATACATGAACAATATCAAACAATACAATTTTCTTCTCCAAGTTATACCATATGAACACACCATTCTTCTCAAACATAACCACATCATTTTTTTCTTCTTCATATGCACACATAATTCTTCTTAAACATACCAACATCATCTCAAGCAAATAAAATTTTCAAATAATATGGTGTCACATATGCAAATACATATCATCTAGAGTACCGAATTTCACCATATCTTTTGCAACTAAAGTATGCCAACAATAGGATTATCTACACATAGAGACATCATATTTAAATTGAACTGTATTGTTATACCACATACACACACCATCTATCAAACCAAATTATCAAACAAGTCTATTTTACATACAAAAATCATGTATTCATCACCCCTCTTAGTTAAAAAATTTCCTATGGACAACATATGCACAAAACGGAATTGATTTTGCCTACATGTTCAACTACACATCATCTACTGCCTACCAAATCATCTATCAACTACAAACAATTTCCTAAAACAGAGAAACCATCTACTCATCTAACATCACCTAGTGTTGAATAGTGCATCATAAAGAAGAGGACTCAACCCAAATAAATTAGAGGGGATGGGGGAGAATACCTCAAGGATGCTTGGGGGCCTCAGATCCACAAATTTATATGGAGGTCAGGGAGGATTTGGTGTGAGGGAGAAGAGGGGCGAAGGAGAGAAGCCCCTCTATTTCTTGCCTTCGGCCGCCGCAGGGAGAGGTTGGGGATGGGTGGGCTGGGCCCGCGCGTGGTGTTATCCACTTACCAGGGCCAGACGCCAGGGTCCTTGGCGTCTGGCCCCTTTGCCACGTCAGCAGGTCAACGGGCAGGCGGGCAGTGCGGGCCAAGGGCCAGACGCCAGGGTTCCTGGCATCTGGTTCGCAACACAAACGCCAGGGATGTTGGCGTCACCCAAAGAGGTCAAAATCGATTTTTTCTTAAACGAGGTCAGATAGGGATTTTGTTAGCCTTTTAGGTCAGAACAGTAATTTTATCCACCCATGTCCATACATCGCAGCAGAGCAGAAGAAGCATCTTGCAATCACCTCCCACACACGAGAAAAAACTCTCTGTAACTGTCTAGTACCTACCTAGCAGGTCCTAGGTAGCCCTAGTCATGGCTTCCAACGCGAGCATGTTGGCCATGATCATGGCGTGCGCGCTCCTTCTCACCGGCAGCACGTGCGACGCTGCTCGCAACCTGGCCGACACGACCCCGGCGGCTGCCGCTCCGGCTGCTAGTGCCGTCCCTGGACTGCCGGCCATGCCGACCTTGCCCGCGGACACGCTCACCCTGATGCCACCCATGCCGTCGGTCACCCTCCCCACCGTGCCGCAGGTGACCCTGCCGCCCATGCCGGCCATCGTCGTGCCCAAGGCGGTGCTACCACCGATGCCCAAGGTCACCCTCCCCACAGTGATGATGGCGCCGATGCCCGCGATTGTCGTGCCCAAGGTGACGCTGCCGCCCTTGCCATTCGTCCCGAATGTGAACGTGCCTATGCCGTTTGCGGCGCCACCCCCGTCGGCGTAGACGCGCCCACGCGCGCGCGCCGGTGATCTGGCCCTGTCCATGATGTGTATTGATGGGGCTCCTTCCATGTGAGAGTGGCGCCAGGTCACTCCGTGGTCACGACACATATGTTACTGTTCTTACATGCAAGTTCTGCGTTTTAAGCGCGATGTATCAGTAGATCCTACTTTTTTTTACGTCTCAGTGTATGTATTCTTAGTCTGTTGGGTCGTCCCATTGTCTATATGTAATTGTTTACCAATCACAAAAGTTTCATATTTTCTATGAAAAGCTAACCTTCAACCGGCCGATCTCGCAAGCGCGTCCACCGGCTCCGTGTCCGTCAGATCGTCTAATGTAATGATCTGATGGACAAGAGCACCACGTGTCCATGTGTTTTTTGCAACTGAGGCTTTGTTTCGAAAAAGAGAGTTTTGCAATTGTCAGGCTTTTTGCGGCGGCGGTGACTCGTACGGCCAGGAGCGTGATGGCGGCGAGGAATCTCGCCGGATCTGATGAGGATGACGCGCGGGTAGGAGGCAGGGACGTTCGGGAGCCGCGGGGGCGAAGACTCGTGCGGCTAGGAGCGCGACGACGACAAAGATTCCAGCCGGATCTCACCGGATCCGACGAGGAAGACCCGCGGGCAGGAGGTGGGGACGCTCGGGAATGGCGGGAGATTGTCTCGGCGAGGTCTGGCAGGGTTCACGGCGAGCTTCACATCGAGGACCCGCGACTGCACCGACGAACGGCGCTCCTGCGGCGAGATATACAGAGAGATGGAGAAAACAAAAGGAAGTGGAGGATGGTGGCGAGGTGAGTTTGGTCGGAGGTCCGGGGCTCGCCGGCGGCGGCGCGAAGACGGGGGCGGCCACCATCCGGCGAAGCTCGCGGTGAATGATGGTGTCGGGGGAGCTTGTTTCTGAATAAAGCTCTTCTTGCAATAGTCAACGTGTTTCTGAAACAAAGATCTTGTTGCAAAGATGGACCATATCCTCGCAAAAAAGAGCAAAGAGGAACCATATACAGAAATCTTTGAAATTCTGCAACAAGACCTTTGTTGCAAAAAAAAAATCTGAAGCAAGATCTCTGTTGCACAAAATAAAAAAATACAGGCACGGGCCATCTTTGAAATTTCTGGAACAAGATCTTTGTTGCGAAAAATTTCTACAATAAGATAGCTGTTGCAAAAAATAAAAATAACAGGCTTGGGCGATTGGAATAAGCAGACTGTTGCAGAAATACCACTCTTGTTGCAAAGGGTGGCTGCTTACGTTACATTGGTAGATCGGACGGTCATTAGTGTATCCATCAGTGGTCAGTGAGGCAGCGGATCATTTTTGAATTTCCGCCGAGAACACGTAGCGTGGCCCTTTCACTTGAGTGATTAATCGAACATCGTTCTGTTTTTGACAGATTCGAAATGAGTAACCAAAGAGTCGTCTGGTCTCCTCACCTAAACTTCTGCTTGGCGCCACTTAATGTCGCCGGAACCCTACCATCGTTGTCAATGACCTTGTTCTTTGCCGTTTGTACTGTTGTTAGTGGCACTGACTAGTGTTGAGATTTTTTTTTAAAAAAACTTTCTATTTATTTATTTTCAATCATGCCAACACGGTAGACCACCTAGCGACGACTACAAAAACTGTAACGAGCTGAAGTCGCGCTGCCGTCATCGCCCCTCCCTCACTGTAGCCGGGCAAAACTTTTTGTAGCAGATAGTCAGAAAGTCGTCGTGTTAAGCCCCCATAGAACCAGCGCAATGGAACAACAACCACCGCCGATAAAGAGTAACGTAGATCGGAGGGATCCTACCTGAAGACACATGAACGTAGACGAAATACGACCAAATCTGAGCAAATCCACCAATGACAGATCCGTCGGAGACACACCTCCACACGCCCACCAACGATGCTAGGCAGACCATCGGGACGAGGGCTAGGCGGGGAGAACTTTATTTCATCTTCAAGGAGCCACCGTCGTCTCATCTTCCTGAGTATGACACAAACCCTAATAAAACACGAAGGAACAACTGAAAACAGAGCCCTCCAGCCGGAAAGGACCGAGATCCACCATGCTGCCATGGCCCTAAGGCCACTGAGTCAAACCAGCGGCGGTGCCAATGACAGGCAGGAGAGACTTTTCTTGGGGAGGACGGCTGACTGATGTTGAGATCTTGATGTAGGCACAACACAAGCGTAAAGGCCGCTTCTTTTATTTACGATCAAACATTTGAACATGAGCCTAAAAAAGGAAGTTTTAATATGAACACAAGACACTAGTGTCAATCATGTCTCCAACGCTATCCCCTAATTTGCCCTCACATGTCCAAACTTGACGGTCCGGGCACTTTTGTACTCTAACGATATCCCTTGTTTGCGCGTGGACTTAACTGGACATCCGGAATCCCTTAGTATATCCCCAAATTAGGGGTTGTATAGGCGTGTCCGGATGTGTTCCCAAACACCGCCAACTTAACGTATATAAGACGAATAGGACAAAGAGGTGAATAATTGAGGGATAGTGTTGGATGGCTCAGCACGAATGACATCATGGTGGTGTGTTTCTCCTTGCCTGCCTAGCCCAACTGCCGAAGCATGTTTCTGCAGGGCCGTCCACCAAATACTCAGATGTTGGCCACCAATTTCCTCCTTTTTTCTCCCACTCAAATAGTTGAGGCTGTCACGGGAGGTTACACCATCGTAAACGCACTTTGCAAAAAGTTAAGTTCACATTACAACTGACTTAAGAAGTTGAACGGATGAACATGAAGGAATAGGAACGGAAACAACATTGAAATGTCATGAAATCGTCATCTCTACATCAGAACGTCCAAGTCGGCCTAAAAGACTACACAAACAACCCACCCTAAAAGGCGCGTGCTAGAAAAATCCGAGGCACCTGTCGATTTACCGAGCACCAAGTAACACGAATGGCACTGAATTTTTTTAACCATGTTCACCGAATATCTGAAGTTTACCACGGATTGACTATTCAAAATCAATCAGGCAGTTGCCACGCCCTTTCTTATTCGATTTCACATTGCGGTGGGCAAGGCACGAGGGGCTCGGCAGTCGGCACACATCCCTTTTGAAATACTTGTTTATCATGGAGAAAGAGTGACGAGGAGAGGTACCTGCAGCGCCAGCTCCTCACCTAAACACAGAAATTGAGGCATCCATGCATGCATCGCATCCACATCGATCGACCGCTACAACTAATTTCCTTCTCGATCATATAAACATTTTGTCACTTCTGACTAACGTAAACACGTTATGGTTACCAACTATGGTTCCGGAGAAAGTTGTGTTGCCTACCATGGCGAGTCTGGCCAACAACCAATCTAATCAGGCCATCCATCACCTCACCTGGGCTATAAGTTCCAGGCATCGACCCCTGTCCTTGCATCCCAACGATCAGAGACATCTCGCAGTCCCTTCGCAGTAAACCATCTGAGAGAAACTCTAGCTAGGAGCTAGGCATGGCCTCCACCACGAGCTTCTTAGCCATGATCATGGCGTGCACGCTCCTCGCCAGCACGACGTGCCATGCCGCTCGCCACTTGGCCGACACCACCCCGGCGGCTGCCCCACCCGCTGCCGCTGCTGTCCCTGGCCTCCCGGCCGTGCCGACCATGCCGACGCTGCCACCGATGCCGGCTGTGCCGACGGTGTCGTCCTTGACCGTGCCATCTATGCCGACTGTGCCACCCGTGCCGCAGGTGACACTGCCGCCCATGCCCGCTGTTCCTGCGGTGCCGAAGGTGACGATGCCCCCAATGCCCGCCATCGTCGTGCCTAAGGTGACCATGGCACCGATGCCCGCCGTCGTTGTGCCTAAGGTGACGATGCCGCCGATGCCCGCCATTCCTTCCATGCCCAAGATGACGCTGCCGCCGATGCCTTCTATCCCCACTGTCAACGTGCCTATGCCGTTCTTGGCGCCGCCTCCATCAACTTAGGAGTGCCACGTGCATGGTGACGCGTGCACCAGGTCGACGGTCACACGCTCCCATGTTTCAGTGGCTACATCACTTTGTTGCTCATGTGAAGTATTTGCTTTCGTGTTGTTTGCTTTACATTTCAATTCAGTTGTTAGTTATTGTGTGTTGATATTAAAGGGGTGTTCTTGTCCTAGTATATATGCGGCATTTTAATTTATTTACATGTTATTTATACCTTTATACCTATATACCAACTAAAGGGATATTGCTTCTTGCGGTATGTCACGGGAATTGCCTCCAAACATGCAAACCGACCAATGCCATAAAAAAGTTTCACACAAGGGAATCCCCCGCCTGGGCCTGCCCATGTAGTAGGTACCTCCTATACTACGCTCTATTCATGTGTGAGAAGATGTAGAGCCCCCGTTTGGTCCAGCCCATGTCCGGGCGACCTGTTTTTTAACTTTAATTTTTTGTTTTTTTGTTTTTGTTTTTCTACTTTAAATAATTTGGGACTTAAAAAATGTTTTGATTTTTTTTAAATGAAATAATTTTTTTAGTAAATCATAAAATGTTTGTGGATTCAAAAAGTGCTCGTGGTTTTATAAAAAAAATTCTTATTAAAAAATTCAGAATTTTGAAAACAAATGTTCAGTAAATCAAAAAATGTTCATGATTTTTTGTAAAATATCATGTATTAAAAACTGTTAAAGAAATTGAAAAAAATCACCAATTCAAAAAATTTCATGAATGGGAAAATATCCCGAAATTTCAAAAAATGATCATGACTTACAAAATAGTTTATTCGTTCATAAAACGTTCACTCATTCAAAAACTATCATGCATTTAAAAAATCGTTAAATTAAAAAAATGTCCATGGATTTCAAAAATTGTTCCACCAATTTCCAAAGAATGTTTGTCGATTTTAAAAATGTTCGCGGATTAGACTCCCGCGAAGCCCTCACGTTTGTTTCCGGTTTGCGGGAGAAATCGCGTCCAGACCACGCTGTAAACCAATACAGTCCCGTGTTGAATGACTTCTGTTGTTCGGACAACGCGATCCAGACGCATGTGGGTCAGCTTTGAAAATACCCTTAAGTAACCCTTGTGTACATTTTATATAGTTGGGTTGAATTGCACCGGTACATGTCTTTATCTCTTTAGGCTATAGTACACGTTTGATGGAGTAAATCCTTTGGCTTGGACGTGATCTTGCCCTTTAGATACACGTGTACGGTTTGAGAGTTTTATAGTTTCTTTCGTACTACCAGTGTACTCACCGTGCTGTTGGAGATGTCCATCATTGGTACTCTGCCTCCGTGCCTTGTACCGGTTTGTCTTCCCCATGCAGGCTAGCAACTTGTTTACACCGTCACCTCAAAAAAAGCCACTTTGCACGGTCCATCGTGAGCTGCTCGGCCGCCCGGTTGCTCCCCATGTCAGATACATGTCCCTGTGCATCCCACGCTCGCTGGCAGACTGAAAGGATGCATGCCTTCGTCATGTCAAGTCATAGCTCGTAGCTCCCTTTTGGTAGTACAACAAATGGTTTTATTTAATGCTTTTTTGGTTCATAGGATAGAATTATCGTAGAAATAGAAAATTTGTAGAAAATGAGATGGCATGTATCTCAAATCCTATGAGTAGGAATAGAAAACAAGATGTCACTTGGTTCACATCAAAGGAATTTTTCATTGAGTCTAGGCTCATTTTTATTTTTCTATAAAATGTGAAGGATAGGAACCAATCCTATGTAGAAGTAGGAATCCATTTCTATAAACCAAAGGGCTCTAAAGAAAATAATCCTATCCTCTAAAATTCATATGAAATTTTTTCAAACCAAAGGAGGCCTAAGATATGCTCGATAAAGGTTAGAACATTTTCAACGTGAATCGTCAAATGCACATCAACAAATGTCCGTGGGGCGCTGGTCATCCAGCTGTGGACACCTCACACCTAATGACTTGCTCATTTGAAATGGATCGAATAGATAACCGGATCAAGCATAAAAGAATGCTGGGAAGGGCGGCTCCTCCTTCACACAACATTCTATTTGGACGTCGCGGTTATGTGGAGGGGACGCGAGACCGGACTGTGGTCGATCAACGACCACTCGAGCACGGTCTCAATCTACGGCACGAACTCGTTGTCCGTCACAGCACGGGCGACTTCTGCTCCTCCTTGTCGTGTGAGGAAATCAGCTCCGATTTGACGTAGGATGGAAGTGTGGACGACAAGGGGCCTGGAGAACGTGGGCGATAGTGCTAACTGAACCCGGAGCCGCGCGCTGACCGCCAATTGGAGGCGTTGGTCTTTTGCCCGTCTCGGCGACCAGTGGTGGTGTGTGATGGATGTGGAAGAGGGGAGTAGGAGGATAGGGCTTGTGTTTGTGTTCGGTCGACGGCCAGTTCTTTTCGCGGCTTAAACAAAATAAGCCGCCACTTTCCTAGCTTTTTCTATAAGCCGCATCTCTTATTCATTGAGACTTCTAAACTAATTATGAGTTAACTAATTAGAAGTTTCAACAAATTTAGAAGGCTTATTTTTAAAGCTAGTGGAGAGGCAACTTATATTCTAAGCCGCCCAAATGAATTGGCCCTTAATAGCCGGGTAGGCGGACCAGCGAAACTTAAATGCGGGCAGCGTAGTAGTAGGTTTTTCGGTAGCTACGTGCTGTGGATGCGGGTTGACGGGTGACTGATCAAGATGGAGTGCATACGCGACGCAGAGGATTCTGGAACGGGCATGATG